TAATAAAAGAGCATTTAGCTACAAGCGACCAGGCCCTATTCCAGTCCTCCAGATCCACAACCACTCCCAGGTCGCGCTCCCACTGAACGACATATGAAAGAGAAGTATGCGACGAGCGCCTTTTCAAGGCTGCATAAAGAAGGGAGATAAGGCCTGGGGTGCCCGGACGCTGTTGGCAAAGTAGTTCAAAGGCAGATTTCTGGTACTGGAAAACAGAAGTGCCCTGCAAAAGAGAGCAGCCAATGCCGCAATTGAAGGTAATGAAAAAATTCTGCCGGTGGGACATCCCGTGACTCCCGAAGAGAATTCCAGGTAGGGAAGGACCGAGAGGTCAAAAAGTGTCGTACTTGTGAAAAACCGTTGGCCACCCACCAAGAAAATGCCCTTGGTTGATCTAAACCATGTGGATAGAGGGGGTTGTTAGTAATCGGGAGTGTGCAGAACACTTTTTTAAGCAGTTCTAGCAACAGTTTTTTTTTTCCTTTTGGGATAAAGGTTTTACATAAATAAAAGCTGAACATAGTAAGCACCACTGTCAGTATTAAATGGTTTGTCTCAATCCTCTAACTGCTACACGTGCAGGACAACTTGTTCTGTTGAAAACTAACATACTTACGGGCTGTCAGGAATCTCGACCACGCACGGGCCTGCGCATACGCAGAACGCCGATGCGCATTAGCCAGCGAGCACTGGAACTTAGGAAATCGTGGCGGCGGCGGCTGCGCATGCGCACTCGCGAGCCTGGCACCAATGAGAGCACAGGGCGCACTATTTAAACCAGCCCTGTGCATCACCAAATTGCCGTATTGTCTTGTTCCTGCGTATTGATTGCCTTGTTGCCGACCCAGCCTGACCCTGATCCTATTGTCTTCTCCTGCTCTGACCTTTGGCTCGTCCTGACTATTCTCTGCCTGATCCTAACTATCTGACCTCCTGTTGCTGAACCTGGCCTGTGACCCGATTAATCTTTTGCCTGCCGCTCTGTACTGTCTGCTCTGCTGTTACCAACCCGGCCCGTCTGACCACGTTACTACCTCTTCACATCTGGCTCTCACCTGTCGCTTGCCATTGGCGGTTGCCTCTACCACTGCTAGTTGTACTCGGGGGTCGCGACCTGGTCTCAGGCTGCTTCAAGTCCATCCCCACCATCAGGGGCTCTGGTGAATCAGCAGACTGAGGCTTAGACTCCGCACTCTGAGGAATTCCGGCCTGTGGGTCGCTAGAGGCTACCGCCAGTCGGCTCCTGACACGGGCAGGACCACCAGGTGAAAATAAAGGAAAGAAAGCCTAAAAAATAAAACATATGCAACCATCACATTTAAGAATTGGTACGCTGCAACAGAATAAATGCTTTCTTTTGGGTTTAATGCTGCTTTAAGTCCACCATTATCTGTACTATATACTTTTGCTCACCCACAACTGAAATAATCAAATAGTCTGTGGAAAAATACTCAATAGACTGTTATCATTACCCTGTTAAGGTCAGGAAGGCAACCAAAACAGCATCTACTGCTACCCCCTTGAGAGCCACTGGTGTTGGGTCCCCCTTACAGTCATGGCCGAAATTGTTGGCACCCTTGATATTTTTCCTGAAAATCAAGTATTTCACACAAAAAAGGTATTGCATTAACACATGTTTTGCTATACACATGTTTATTCCCTTTGTATGTATTGGAACAAATATAAAAACAGAGGCAGAAAAGCAAATATGACATAATGTCACACAAAACCCCAAAAATGGGCTGGACAAAAGTATTGGCACCCTTAACTTAATATTTGGTTGCACACCCTTTGGAAAACATAACTGAAATCAGTCGCTTCCTATAACCATCAATAAGCTTCTGACACCTCTCACCCGGAATTTTGGACCACTCTTCCTTTGCAAACAGCTCCAGGTCTCTCTTATTGGAAGGACACAAAAAAACCTTTTCCCAACAGCAATTTTAAGATCTCTCCACAGGTGTTCAATGGGATTTAGATCTGGGCTCATTGCTGGCCACTTCAGAACTCTCCAGCGCTTCTTTGCCATCCATTTCTGAGTGCTTTTTGACGTATGTTTGGGGTCATTGTCCTGCTGGAAGACCCAGGATCTTGGACGCAAACCCAGCTTTCTGACACTGGGCCCTACAGTGCGACCCAAAATCCTTTGGTAATCCTCAGATTTCATGATGCCTTGCACACAGTCAAGGCACCCAGTGCCAGAGGCAGCAAAACAACCCCAAAACATCATTGAACCTCCACCATATTTTACCGTAGGTACTGTGTTTTGTTCTTTGTAGGCCTCATTCCGTTTTCGGTAAACAGTAGAATGATGTGCTTTACCGAAAAGCTCTATCTTGGTCTCATCTGTCCACAAGACGTTTTCCCAGAAGGCTTTTGGCTTACTCAAGTACATTTTGGCAAACTGTAGTCTTGCTTTTTTATGTCTCTGTGTCAGCAGTGGGGTCCTCCTGGGTCTCCTGCCATAGCGTTTCATTTCATTTAAATGTCGACGGATAGTTCGCGCTGACACTGATGCTCCCTGAGCCTGCAGGACAGCTTGAATGTCTTTGGAACATGTTTGGGGCTGCTTATCCACCATCCGGACTATTCTGCGTTGCAATCTTTCATCAATTTTCCTCATCCGTCCACGACCAGGGAGATTAGCTACAGTGCCATGGGTTGCAAACTTCTTGATAATGTTGCGCACTGTGGACAAAGGCAAATCTAGTTCTCTGGAGATGGACTTGTAACCTTGAGATTGTTGATATTTTGCCACAATTTTGGTTCTCAGGTCCTCAGACAGTTCTCGTCTCCTCTTTCTGTTGTCCATGCTTAGTGTGGCACAGACAGACACACAATGCAAAGGTTAAGTGAACGTCTCTCCTTTTTATCTGCTTTTCAGGTGTGATTTCTATATTGCCCACACCTGTTACTTGCCCCAGGTGAGTTTACAGGAGCATCACATGCTTGTAACATTCTTATTTATCCGCAGTTGTGAAAGGGTGCCAATACTTTTGTCCAGCCCATTTTTGGAGGTTTGTGTGACATTATGTCGAATTTGCTTTCTTTCCTCCCTTTTTTTTGTTTTGTCCCAATACACACAAAGGGAATAAACATGTGTATAGCAAAACATGTGTTAATGCAATACGTTTCGTGAGAAATACATGATTTCCTGGAGAAATATCAAGGGTGCCAACAATTTCGGCCATGACTGTATTTCCTGCACAGCCAGGCAACATGCATTTTACAACTTCCATTCAGAGTCAGTAACCAGTCCATGGCTTATTTTTTTTAGGGGAAACAACTTGGAGCCAGCCTAGGGGAATATGGGATGCCCAACTTGACTTGAAACAATAACTCTGAGGACAACTTCCTCAATGTTGTACAAAAAAAAGATGGATCCTGGACTTTCTGCTCCCTTCACCAAGTTCGCACATCACTGAGTTCAGTCGCAGAATCGTTTTCAGTGTCTGATGATGAATTTCCCCATGAATCATTATCACTCAATTCTGCAAGTGGTTCTAATTTACTATCGCTGTTCTCTAGCTGATCTAAAATCACTTTTGACCTAAAGGGACACTTTTTCGATACCATGGACATTTCTCAGTTTCCAGGCAGAAAGAACAGTAAAAATGCAGGCAGGGCAGACAAAGCACAAGGGACAAAATGTATGTGAAATGGTTTGATACAGTAATGTAATACTAACAGATTGCAATGTATTGTGTGTATGTCATATTTTTACTTTTTTGAATCTCCCGCTGGTTCCGCCCCCTGTACGTCCTGACACTCGCCCGGAAGATGGATACCGGCATCGGCCAGTGGACATGGCCGTGGCACACAGCGGGAGGACCTCGCGGGATTCTGGGACAAGGTAAGGCTTGAGGGATTGCTGCAATGTAATCCTGAGTGTTGCTTGGGGTTACCGCTTTTGGTACTGTAAATTAACCCCGAGCTACACTCGGGATTACCGCCAGGAAGGTTAAACTAACTGGAGGAAAATTCAAAACCAATCTTAGAAACTACTGTTTTGCTGAAAGAGTAGTTGATGCTTGGAATAAACTTCCAGCAGAGGTAGTGAGCCAGTCAACAGTAAATAACTTCAAACATGCTTGGGACAAGCATAGATCTATACTCAGGCAAAAAAATTTACAAAAAAAAAAAAAAACAACCCTCCACCCCCCCAACAAAAAGACAAAACAAACACAGACATACACAAAAAATTGTAGACTCAATGGACCACTCTGTCTTTTTCTGCCATCACTTTTCTGTTTCTAAAATATAACAAGTGTAACAAACAAAAGGAGCAAAATAGGTGATAATTTGAATGAAAGAAGCTCCTCCAGCAGTGAGCAGCCTGTACATCCTAGTCACCACCTGCAGTAACATGGGAGATCAGAAGACATCTCTTCTATTTATGACATTCATAAAACAAAGCACACCCTTTCTGGAATGTACTGTACTGGCCGCCCTAGATGTCAAGCAGCGCTTCTTTTAATTGGCTAAAAGTGATTACTTGCTGCTTACTCATTGGTTATTTGATTTGGATACCTGATCACTGATTTGTTTGCACAACGTCCGATTTGCCAGAGAACGAAGACACCTTAACAGAAATGGGCCCTAGTCGCACAGTAAGTTTTATAGCTGCCGCCATTTTTCATGAGACCAATCCTCATTGAAAACTACGGAACAAATTCAACAAAATGGATCCAGTTGCGAAGCAGTGAGAACGGAAAATTGTATTCCCTTGCACTAAAAGCCTATTCAAAGCTTCGTAGAGTATCCTGCGGCCATCTTTAACACGGGCATGTTTTGGTGTACCATGGTATAGTTCAGAATCTGTTAATGAAAACCTAAGCTTCCGTGCTGGGTGGATATTCCTTTACACACCGCAAAGGCTGCTGGCTGTAAATTAGAGTTCTGATTTTACTTTCCCGAATTCAAAAGGGACAGTCAGTGTGGGCGAATGAGAGGCGGATGTGACGTAGGCGGAAGAAGGCTCTCGCTAGTGGAGGGTAGTGATGGCGGCTCTGTACATCCATAGCTTTCTGTTTCTCCAGTGTCTGTTCAGTCTGTCCATTCTCGGGGCCGCCGGAGACCTGACCGATGGCAACAGCGAGCACGTGAAGCGGGAGCACTCTCTCATCAAACCCTACCAAGGTGAGAGACGAGGGAAGGAAGACATTGGACGGTTCTAGGCTCTGCTTGTATAGGGAGTGGACATATTCATGTGGAAGTCAGGATCCTGAGGGCACTTGTAGGGAGCAAGGGACAGTAAGGAGGGCTAACCACTGTCACTGACCCCCTCCTTGTAATTACACATCCCCTAGGTATTTGTATTTCTGCTCTTCTCTTTTTCTTTATAGTGCATGAAAACCTGTCATCACATATTAAATCTGTTTGAACTTCGCCAAGATGGTGGCTGTGTGTCATTGCAGGGGTTTCCAGCATCCACCCTCATGGCCCAAGAAACCAGCACAAGCTCAAGTGTACATAGGGGTGAGCGGTGCAGGGAATCATGGGACATGTAGTTTCAGGTCCTTAGACCACTTGACAGTTGCATGATATGAGCTGTGCGCACACCCCTGGCTGGAAGTACATGTAGCACTACAAGGATCCTGGTACTAAGGAATAAAAGCTGAGTCTTTTGGGACAACATAAAATAAAGGATCTGGCAGTAATACATAGTAACGGGCTGCTCAAGGCAAAATGCATTTAAAGTGTTACTAACCCATAACAGTAAAATCGGTCTGGATATGCAGTAAAGCAAGCTTGTTATACTGTGAAATCTAAGGGGTTAATCCTCGGCATTGTGTACAAAAGCCGTTTGATCCTTTCTTCTCTGCCCCTCCTTTTGGTGAAATGACCACCTGATACAGACTGAATCTGTAGTTACATGCACATGCTCAGTTTGGTATGTATTGCTAGAGAGGTTGTTTTTTTTTTTTTTTTGGAGTGTGCATGTGATCAGCACAGGGCCGATCAGCACTGTCCAGACAGAGGGTTAGAGGTTTCACATCCTCCTAGAGCAGAAAGAGAACTCCTCCTACAAGCTTTAACCAGTGCTCAGCTGAAGTCACAAGACTGCTCTAACTGCTAATGAGGAAAGGTATTTTGCAGTTTATTTTTACTAAAATAATTGCATTTCCATGTTCTGTGTACTGTGGAAGACTGGATATAGTGAATGCAGGGTCCTGGATTTACTAACACTTTAATGCTGCTTTAAAGTGGTTGTAAACCCTTACATATATTTAGTGAAATGACTGGCCTCAGGTGATATACAAAGATGAAACAAATTCTCCTACATAGGTTGTACTTGTTTATCTGCAGCGTCCTTCTTCTCTACATCTGTTCAAAGTGTTGAATTTATAAGTTTGTCTGGGAGTTCAGAAAAAAAGGGGGCGGGGAGCTGAAATTACACACTGCATAGCTTAGTGAGGAGAGAGCTGATTGGAGGAAAGAAAAAAAAAAAAACCCCTCCACACAGCTCAGAGGAATAGAGCTGAGACTGTCAATCTGCTGGAGGCCCCATCCCTGTTACTATTTTTCGCTTACTGTCAGGAAAACTTGTCAGAAGTCATTCATGCTGATAGGGGAATGAAGAAATCGGCTTGTGTGGGTTTTGTTTAGCCGGCTCCCAGCTTGAGCCCTGGTTCACAGAGATGCGGAGCGGCACATTGCATGTGATTCACACAGGAACTGCACTGCATTCCTGTGCAAACCGCATGCAGTTTCTGTGCGGTGCAATTTGAGCCATACATTTTTGTATTGCTTGAATTGCACCATATCTGATCCAAAATAGCGCAGAACCCTTTTTTTTTGTCTGCACCAGAATTGGATCGCATTTAGTGTTCACACCCATGTGATCCGATTCTGCACATCATACCGCATTTTGTGAACCATTTTCGGGGTGTTGTTAACTTAAAATACACACCTGTAGCGGTTTGCATGAGCAGGGTGTGATTATGATGCGTGTGTGGAAATCGCAGAGACACCAGTGCAAATTCCACGCCACATCAGTGTGAACCAGGCCTGAAAGTGAGGTGGCAGCTCCATACCGATCTATCGATCACTTTCATAGAGCTGGCAGTGCGGTGCCCACCTCCCCCATTCCTCGATCTCACATGTAAACAATGAAAGAGGAAATGATTGCGCCTCAGTTTTCAAATGCATCATTTCCTGGTCATTACAGCTAGGGGACACATCTAACCAAGCCAATCTGTGCTTGGTTAGATGGTGTGAAGAGCAAGGGAGATATTAGACCCCTAATGTCTCCATAAAGAGTACCTGTCACCTGCCCAGTGCTATCACATAGATGTTTTTAGCCCCTTGTGATAGCAATCAAGTAAAAAATAAATAAAAAAAAAATTATAATAAAATATATAAAAGTAAAAAAAAAAATGGCTGTAACCCCTATTGCCCCTCACAACTACGCAAACCCAGGGTGTGCACACGTATGTAAACCGCAGTTGCACCACACGTACAGCATGTATGCGAAAGATAAAAGAAATTGCTCTGGAGACGGACTGGTTATTTGAGACAAGTGCACACTATAGAGCGATGTGCTCTGCTCATATTTCATGTCTGAGGTTTACAACCACTAATAGATGCAAATGCAATGATAAAAAAAAAAAACAAATCTCATATTAGTTTTCACGTATAGCTGAACACCGGGCAGACAAACATTCATGTTCCTCATTAGGCACAGTGAGTATAAAACAATGTTTTGAGCACCAAATGTCTTTGCATACCCAGATGTTACCTTGTAAAAGAAGCAGTGACATCATTACTGTGCTGTACATAGACTGTGGAAGGGACCCAGTAGTACAGACTGCTGGAAGAAAACTACAGGAGGGGGGGGCAGAGACAAGACCAGTCACCCTGAACAAACAGGAAGAGCAGCAGTGACTGTTTTTTATTATAAGAAGCTCCTTCACAGAGGCAAAGTTTCAAAATGGATTGCTGCACGGATCTGAAAGACTTACACAAAGGACACCAAGATATAGATAATAATACACATACCTCCTCTATTTAATGCCAGAGTTCAGCCTGACCCCTGAGTAGTTTTTTTGGGAGGGGTACTCAGATACAGCACCAGTTTCACAGGGTATGTGTAATGGTGTGCATACCATTGCCCGCAGGCAGCTGCTTCTGGTAAAAAAAAAATCTTTCCCATAGTGTCTCATTCATAGCCCCTATATACTGCCCTGAGTAGCTGTCTTGTAGTGCTGTGGGAGTTTACAGCAGCTACTGCTCCTGAGAAAAGTTGGGCCACTTGCCCATCACCTTCTGCTCTCTCTGTCATTCATAGTGCTTGTATTATTATTTTATTCACGTTCCAGTAAATGGGAAGTAAGAGCCTGCCATTCAGCTGCTCTTCCTTTATTCACAAAATGTGGCGTATTATGGGACAGTAGTAATACCAGCAATATGCATTGGTGGAGAGGACAGAAAGGGGCAGGTGAGCGCCACAGCTTTATTCAGTAACAGCGGCTGCTGTTAACTCTCATAGCGCCTAGAGACAGCTGCTCAGGGTAATATCTGGCGGCTATGACGGAGGTGCTGAAGGGAAGATTTTTACCAGAAGCAGCTGCTTACAGGTAATGGGATTATACATAACTAATGTTTTTTAATGCTGCAACTCCTCAAAATAATAAAACAAGCTTTTTAATGTTATTTCAGTATTGTTTAGAGCATGTTCTATGTTACACCCATATTTAGGGTGTAACATGCTCCAGTTGGGGTTTACTTCTAATTTACCATTTATTACAAGGTCTCGCTGCTCTGTGAGCCAATGAGGAGAGAGAAATCCAGGAGAGCCACTGCTCTCATGCACATTGCTGAATTGGGATTGGGCTCAGGTAAGTATGGGGGTAGCTGCACCCAGAAGGTTTTTTACTTTAATGCATAGAATGCATTAAGGTAAAAAACCTTCCTTTAGAACCGCTTAAAAGTTAACGATGTCCAGATGCTTTGTCTGATGGCATTTAGCCTGCAATGCACTAGTATTATATCATAGTTTTGTTTAATGTTTAGGTGGAATAGCATCCATTGTAAGCCAATGTATGTGATTTTATATAAGGGTATATTTCTGACTAGTTCTCCATAAATTGTCGAATGTAGCTGCAAAGATTTCTTCCCCCTGTTCCTGTTAGAAATGTTCCCTTATTTTATTATTTCAGACTTTGTTACTAATAACTAGTAGTTTAGAATTGCTAACTATTTTACCTCCAGGGAAGGAAAATTCCTAGACACCATATAGCAGGGGGAATCTAGGCCATTGCCCTTTTTAAAGGGTTTTCCTATTCTTGCTTGGTTTATCTGGCTTTGTTAGGTTGCCTGCAGCTTATGGATTGTGTAAATCTCCATGTGTTGAGCTTTCTCAGTGACACCCTGCCTGGAGGAGCTGTAACGCTTTGGCTGATGTAGAACAAAAAGAATCACACAGCCACTTCTAGTAAATTCAGGATCCTGTTTAATGGAGTGGTTGTATATTGTGTCAAGTCTGTCTAAAGAATATCATTTATACACCATCCAAAGTATAACCAGTTTTAAAGTAATGTTTTTACCATAAAGCTTAAAATTGAATTGTCTATTTAAAGTGGACCGTGCATTGAAATGCAAGGTAAACTCAAATTGCTCAGGCCCATTCTCCCTTTACAATCAACTATTAGTAAGTTCAGATACCAGAAATTGCAAAACGCTCTGTGCCTGGAGTTCGACTGTAAGAATATTGAGAGAAACTTTGCAACCTATTCGCCTCACCTCTTCTGGGTTCCAGTAGGTTCAATGTGCATGCTTAATGTAACTATATCGTCATTTATTACAGCTTGCATGCTCTTTGTTTCAGGCTTGGATCATTGAAAATGTTACCTGTGGCTTTTAAGGATTACTTTTTTTTCCACTTTTAAAATATCTTCACTTTTGTGCTCATACCCACATACATATAGGCAGATTTGACTTTATTTTTGTTTTCTGTTTTAACATGTTTCTTCATTATTTTTAGGTGTGGGTTCTAGTGCAATGCCACTGTGGGATTTCATGGGTAGTACAATGCTGACCAGTCAATACGTCCGTTTAACTCCAGATGAGCGGAGTAAAGAGGGTTCTATCTGGAACAGAATAGTAAGTTAAAGTTTTATAGAAAAACTGAATGCCCAAGTTGAGGTATCTCAGAAATGGAATATGTTGTAATTGTTTGGGTGTTTTTTTCAGCCTTGCTTCCTCAAGGATTGGGAATTACATGTCCATTTCCGGATACATGGAACAGGAAAGAAGAACTTACATGGTGATGGCTTTGCACTTTGGTATGCAAAGGATAGGCTAGAGCCAGGTAGATCATTACTGCCTTTATCTCTATTTCTTTTTCTCTTGCCTGCTTTGTTGATTGACCGTTCCTAATAATTTTCCATAACTTCTTTAAGGCCCTGTGTTTGGAAACCATGCAAAATTTCATGGTCTGGCAGTCTTTGTTGACACCTATCCTAACGATGAAACAACAGAGGTGAGTATTATTACTGTATACTACTCCTTCTTCTTTTCTAGCCTTATACATTGATTTCCTTTCAAAAAATGCTTCATTTTGCCTTCACTGGATTACAAAGTTCACATGGGGATACTTCAGGGATGCTTTTTGAGAAGTGTATGGATATGAGTGTCTCCAAAAAGAGAAAGGACTTCTGGGTAAATATTTATTTTTTTCATGGTAGCTCTGTAAGTTACTATCTCCTTTAACTGTTTTATTGAAACAGTTACATAGCCTTTGCCATACCCTAACAGAGGGGTGCTCAACCATGGGCCACATGTGGCCCTCTGTGCCTTCTGATGTGGTCCCACAAGATATAATAGTCTATGGCAAAGAACAGCTAACCCGCAGGAAAGCCGCAGGTGCACTGCCAGAGCACATCAGTGTGAAAGCTGCCTTATAGTGGGCTCAAGACAGTAAAGACTCCTTTTACATTTGCGGTTTGGGGGGCAGTAAACCTCATAGTTAAGACATCAGTGGTGTAGTGTCAGGGGTCACAATGGCAACCCCACCCCATGCTCCAGGGGTGCCCGTGCAGCATCCCTGTCACATTCTGTTTTACACTTTGACTGTAAGGGCTGCTTATACAAGAACTGACCCTCTTCATTTTCCACCTGCAACTGCTGAAAGCCAACTTCTCCTTCTCTCCCTCTTGCCAGCATTCAGAGGCTATTATTCATAATAAAAAATTCTGAACCATTTCATTTCGTTGTGGCCTGCAATCAGTTACCAAATAACTTAAAGAACTTGCTCCTCAAAAGGTTGACCACCCATGCCCTAACAACTACATCTGGACACTACCATTTTTGGCCTCACAAGCACAGGACTGAAAGTTCTGTTAAGGAAAAAGCATTTAAAGTCCTTTCTCAAGTATTTGCAAAGTATTGCTTAAGCCCCCCTTTATGGGCCACATGGTCTCTTTTTTATTAAATTATCCAATATTCAATCTTGCAATCAGTAATTGATTCAGCTGGACCTACACAACACTCATCTAAGAAACTTATTCAAGGACATTTTACCTTTAACCCCTTCATGCCTAAGGGTAAAACAAATCTAAATGCCTAAGCACAATTTTGCACCGTTGACATGTGTTAGTAAAACCGTACATGTCATCGCAACTACTTTGTATATCCAGGTGAATTATACCTTGTTTTTTTCTGGACAAATTGGGCTTTCGTTTGGTGGTAAATGGTAATGATTATCTCCAGATTTTTTTTTTTTTTTTTTTTTTTTTATAATCATCAAAGGATAACTGGCCCAAAATAGTAAAAAAAAAAATCTTCTTTTTTTTTTTTTTCATTTAACTGTGTTTCTTGTTACTACCATCAAAGAACAACCCAAAATAAATTCTCCAGCTCTTGACGATCGCAGTGATACCATATATGTGTATGTTATTTGTTGTTTGTACCTGTAGTACAGCCCAGAAACAATAATGCGCATTTTGTTTTTGTCTTTTTTTTTTTTTTTTTTTTTTTTTTTAAATCCTGACCATTGACCCTGATCTTTTGACTTTGACCTTGACCCAAACACTAACCCTGCCACTGAACTAGATCAAACCTTGATCTAGGAATTTTGTCTTTATTTTTTAATCACTTATTTATCCTTTTTTTTTTTTTTTTTTTTTTTCCCCTCTATGCCAGGAGTTAGAGAGATACAATGTATCTCTCTCCTCCATTCATAGAGAGAGGAAATAAACAAGGGGGCCGGGCTGTACAGTGACTGATCACTGTGATAGCCAATCAGAGGCTACCACAGCGATCATGTGACCCGGAATCTGGAGTCCCATGTCCCGATTATTATAACGGGACCTGGGGCTCTCAGAGACACCGCGGTCTTTGTGCTGGGAGCACACTGTGTGGCGTGCTCCCAGCACAAAGCCAGGTATGCAAATATGCGGCCCCACGGAAAAAAGCCCAGTTCTGTGAGGCCGCATATTTATGTTACGTTGGCGTCAAGGGGTTACTATTGTAATGTTAATATAAACTGTAAAAGTTTACCTACCTGCTATAGGCATTGGCACTCTGGTCCATGGAGAGGCATTGTTACAGGATCTCTGCCAGTCCATCTTGAGGAATGGACAGTAATCCTTCCTATGAACCGGCCATGTGATCTACAGGTCGTGTGATAGAGCTCAATGTAGAAATGGGATATACTTTTCATATATGCTATTATTATCAAATTACATTGTAGAGAGTAAACAATTTTTTAACCTCTTCCCACCCGCATAACACTTATTTGTGGCTGTGGGAAAAATTGATTGTGTGCTTAGGTTGCATGCTGCAAGCCAGCTTACTGCACGCTTGGTCACTTGATCAGGAAGGCACTCCACCTCCACTCATTTAAAGGGCTGCTAGCAGCCATCCAGAAGGGGTTAAAGTAACCCTTTCTATTGACAAATAATTCAAAACTCCGGTAGGTACCTAGCCATTGTAAAATAAGCAACACATTAATGCTGTAGCAGGGCAGTAAAATTAATTTCCTGCTTCTTTTTGGAGACTCTGTTATTCACACTTTTTACACTTTATAGCTGGGGGGTGGGGGCAGGATATGCCAGGGCAGATAAGTATTCCTGGATAAGGAGAAGCAGGGGAAAAAGGTGGGTGATGTCAGTAGCTGGGGAGGCAACAGATGGATCAGGGTCATGTTTTAGGAGAGATTCATCTTTGTATAAATAAACATTTTCTCTGGATGCATATACTTCAGCTCAGCACTGTCACATGCACATCTGTACTTGGAAGTACCAAATATTCCCTTCATTTTTATAAATGTAAAACTAATACCGTATTTTCCGGCGTATAAGACAACCCCCTACTTTTCCTGTTAAAATGTAGTGTTTGGGCTATACTTGCCGTATAAGACTACCCCTCTTCCAATGCACACCAGTGGGAAGAATCGTGCCCCATCATTGGTGTCAGTGGGAGGAATAGTGCTCCATCATTGGTGTCAGTGGGAGGAATAGTGCCCCATCATTGGTGTCAGTGGGAGGAATAGTGCCCCATCATTGGTATTAGTGGAGGAATAGCGCCCCATCATTGGTATTAGTGGGAGGAATAGTGCCCCATCATTGGTATCAGTGGGAGGAATAGTGCCCCATCATTGGTATCAGTGGGAGGAATAGTGCCCCATCATTGGTGTCAGAGCGACAAATCGTGCCCCATCATTGGTGTCAGTTGGAGGAATAGCGCCCCATCATTGGTGTTAGTGGGAGTAATCGTGCCCCATCATAGGTATCAGTGGCAGGAATAGTGCCCCATCATTAGTATCAGTGGGAGGAATAGTGCCCCATCTTTGGTGTCAGTGGGAGGAATAGTGCCCCATCTTTGGTGTCAGTGGGAGGAATCGTGCCCCATCTTTGGTGTCAGTGGGAGGAATCGTGCCCATCATTGGTGTCAGTGGGAGGAATCGTGCCCCAACATTGGTGTCAGTGGGAGGAATAGTGTCCCAACATTGGTGTCAGTGGGAGGAATAGTGTCCCAACATTGGTGTCAGTGGGAGGTGGAATAGTGCCCCGTCGTTGGGGTCAGTAGGAGGTGGAATAGTGCCCCGTCGTTGGTGTCAGTGGGGGGTGGAATAGTGCCCCGTCGTTGGTGTCAGTGGGGGGTGGAATAGTGCCCCGTCGTTGGTGTCAGTGGGGGGTGGAATAGTGCCCCATCGTTGGTGTCAGTGGGGGGTGGAGGAATAGTGCCCCATCGTTGGTGTCAGTGGGGGGGGGGAGGAATAGTGCCCCATCGTTGGTGTCAGTGGGGGGGGGGAGGAATAGTGCCCCATCGTTGGTGTCAGTGGGGGGGGGAGGAATAGTGCCCCATCGTTGGTGTTAGTGGGGGGGGAATAGTGCCCCATCGTTGGGAGTGGGGGGGGGGGGAATAGTGCCCCATCGTTGGTGTTAGTGGGGGGGGGGGTGGAATAGTGCCCCATCGTTGGTGTTAGTGGGGGGGGGGGGGGTGGAATAGTGCCCCATCGTTGGTGTGTAGTGGGGGGGGGGTGTGGAATAGTGCCCCATCGTTGGTGTTAGTGGGGGGGGGGGGTGGAATAGTGCCCCATCGTTGGTGTTAGTGGGGGGGTGGAGGAATAGTGCCCCATCGTTGGTGTTAGGGGGGGGGGGGTGGAATAGTGCCCCATCGTTGGTGTTAGTGGGGGGGGGGAGGAATAGTGCCCCATCGTTGGTGTCAGTCAGTGGGGGGGAGGAATAGTGCCCCATCGTTGGTGTCAGTGGGGGGGAGGAATAGTGCCCCATCGTTGGTGTCAGTGGGGGGGGAGGAATAGTGCCCCATCGTTGGTGTCAGTGGGGGGGAGGGGAGGAATAGTGCCCCATCGTTGGTGTCAGTGGGGGGGAGGAATAGTGCCCCATCGTTGGTGTCAGTGGGGGGGAGGAATAAGTGCCCCATCGTTGGTGTCAGTGGGGGGGGAGAAATAATGCCCCATCGTTGGTGTCAGTGGGAGAAATAATGCCCCATCGTTGGTGTCAGTGGGAGGCCCCATCGTTGGTGTCAGTGGGAGAAATAATGGGGCACTATTCCTCCCACTGACACCAATTACACCTGTTCTAGTATGGTGCTGCTGCAGCCAGCATATGTGGTTGCAGCAGCAGCACCTCTGGACGGCACACTTACCGGCCACTCCTTCACTCGATTTTCGCGGGGCCGCCTCCTCGCCGGTGATTGGCCGCCTGTGTGCCTTTCCTGAGCTACAGTTCTGGCGGCCAATCAACGGTGAGGAGGCGGAGCCGAGCAGCCGCGGGAACATCCAGTGGCCGAACCGAATGAAGAAGCAGCCGTGCTTCCTGGACCGGATCATCGTGGGACCGGAGCCAGGTAAGAGACAGCAGCCTCTGCCCACCCCTGTACTTAGTGTCCCTTCCGTTGGAGGGGGGGGGGGCACCTCGCCGCCCCCCTAAAAAGTGTCAGCATGCTGTATATTGGCGTATAAGACGACCCCCGACTTTAGAGAAGATTTTCAAGGGATAAAAAATCGTCTTATACGCCGGAAAATACGGTAAGTGCCAACAGTTCTAAAAGCTGCTGTATCAAATTAAGGTTGTGAATAAAATGCATGACACATAGTGATACAGTGCTGTATCACTAAATGCTGCTCTGTTCAGATCCTGGCACTGGACAGAGCAGCAGTGGAGCCAAGGGAAGGTAAATATATCCTGGGGAAAGGTGAGAGGAGTAAATTAATCCTGTATCTATGCTAATAGGGCTTACTTCAAGACACTAAAAAAGTGCCTATTATTGTTAACATTTCATTGTTTTACTTTAGCTAATATATTATTTGTACTGGTTAAAGCTCCTATAAAGCAGCTTAGGATTTTATGTTTTGTAAAAAATAACATTTTCCTTATTTTTGTCCAATCTCTCTTCTTGCAGCGTGTCTTTCCCTTTATCTCTGCTATGGTGAACAATGGCTCCTTAGTGTATGATCACAGCAAAGATGGGCGCACAGTTGAATTGGCGGGTTGCACAGCTGACATTCGCAATGCCAACCATGACACATTTCTAGCCATACGCTATTCCCGTGGGCGTCTTACGGTGAGACATTTTTCAATAAAGTTGGTTTCCCTAAGCGTTTTAGACATATGCGTTTAGGTTGTTGGGTGTCAAAGTTTACCTTCTCTCTAGTTTGGGATTTTCATATTACTTTTCAGCTTCTCAACTAGTGCAGGACAATTCTCTATCAATTGTACAGGCAATTTGTAGGATTCTTTTGCTTCCAACAATTAGTATAGCATGGAATCTCTGCTATATTTTTATTTACTGTCTGTGAGATCCTAGGTGATCCTCTTTACTTTCTGTGTGATCATCAGAGCAGTAAGGAGAGGGACTGATTAAAAAAAGTGACTTATGTTTTTTTAATTGTAATATTTCTGGATTTCATAAAGGTGATGACAGACATTGAAGGTAAAAATGAATGGAAGAATTGCGTCGACATTTCAGGTGTTAGACTGCCAACAGGATACTATTTTGGAGCAACCGCTGCAACTGGAGACTTGTCAGGTTAGAAAGATTGTACTTAAACACAGAAGGTGGTTCCTTGCTTACTTTAACTCTGGAATATATTCTAAAGATATTTTTTCTATTCTGTAGATAATCACGATGTTATCTCTATGAAGGTTTACCAGCTCATGGTTGAACACTCACCAGATGATGAGAACATTGACTGGACTAAAATAGAGCCCAGTGTTAGCCTGTTAAAATCTCCAAAAGGTGAGCACACATTGTGAATTTTTTATTGACAATGTATTTAAATTTCTCCTGAGCACTGAAAATCAAGTGTTGGGTGTAATTTGATGCTTTGAAAAATGCACCATTTTACCTTTAGATCAAGGTAGTTAAAGTATATGTGAACCTTAAATATAAGTGATCACATGGTTTCTGTTCTCAACTACATAAGTGGCTTAGAGAGTTAACGGTGGAGAAACAGCTGGTGACTGTGCTGCTGCGAGGCCGCGTGAGCGGCTCGTTTTGACAGGATGTCCTTTGACACCCAGTCACAATGGCGTGTGTCCTGCCCGGACTTCAATTCGCTATAGGCCAGACGGGAAGGTGTTAAAGGTGAACTTAGCCTTTTACTTTAATTTCTAACAGTAACTTAGAGATAGACTGGTGTCACTTTTTATGGCTTGTTCACACATAGTAGTTTGACCTGCAGTTTTTCTGCACTGAATCTGCTCAAGGTGCAACCCAGCTGGCAGGGGGGGATGTGCAGACAACATTTTACAGCAGCATACTGCATGTTGCCTAACCGCAGCATACATGCCGCTGTGTGGAGACATGAATGAAGTTAACTTTTATGAAACATCAAAGAGGGTTACAGAAATGAAAATAAAGTAAACCGTGTGGTGCACTGAAATGCACTGCAGCTTACCTCCCCTGAACAGACAGCAACCTGCAACCGAGTGTTTTAGCATGCTATGCTGTGTGAACGAGCCCTTAGTAAAGAGTTTACATAAATATACAGCAGCTGCTTTAATCAATACCATGCTAGTCAGGCTAGAAGGCGTGCCCTGACCTGAACAGCTTATGCACACTTACTAGGTACTAATATCTAGAAGATGGTACATTGGCTTGCTGTTACATTATAGTCAAACTGTTTCTTGCCAAATGTGGTGTTTAGACGTGCTCAAATTTTGTCATGGGGAAGAAAACAAAACTGCTACAGGTGTAAAGTGCAGGCATCTAGAGGTACTGCACACATCTACAGCAGCCTACCAAACTTTGCTATTGTGGCTGAATGCACGGCCATTCTGAAAAAGTGCTGCCACTTTCTGATAGTACTGGAGTTTACCTGACTGTTCTTGCCTCCTGCACATTCCTATTGGCCTGTAAAGTTGCCAGGCATAAAGATGAAAAGAAGGTAGTAGCAAGCTCAAACAGTACCATAATTGTTGGAGCTAACAGCAGGCTTTTTTGAAGGGTTCTGCAGGTAAAAGTGTTTACATGTTGTATTTGCAGCTGTCTTTTTTTCACAAAATAAAATTTGCTATCTGCCATTTTGCTTTCTGCCAACTTGTTTTATTTTATGATGAAAGATCTAGGGCTGTGACACTCTGCATATGATTGAATCTGCATCAGATAGGGAATGTAAAAGCTGCTGCTGTTTGATCAGCTGCAAATAAAGGGATCTAATGGTTTCAAGCAAATATTGCATTGTTAGATGAATGCCAATAACAAATGTTCATACATATCCGTTAACTATGCAAAGCTTTTAATATGTTCTTTAAATGTACACATTTTTCAGATAATGTTGACGATCCAACTGGCAACTTTCGCAGTGGCCCTCTAACTGGCTGGAAAGTATTCTTGCTACTTCTCGCTGCTCTACTGGGTATTATAGTCTGTGCTGTAGTTGGAGCTGTAGTGTTTCAAAAACGTCAAGAAAGAAACAAGAGATTCTACTAGCCAGTCCTGCTGGGAGAACAAATTCTGAAATGTGAACTCTTCCTTTCCAGAAAATGGATTGTACAATGCAGTTTCTTATGTGGGTTAAAAAGAAGATAATTTAAGTGGTATTTTCGTACTTTTCATTTACGGTGACAAGAATACCGTTGGGAAGTGGGTACAGGATTAACAATCATTTTTGAGGTTTGCAATTGATTTTTTTTTTTTTCTTTGGGGGTATAAATCAGATTCATTTGATTTATTTTTTTAATATAAATGCCTAACTTTAGTGGAGCATGCTTGGAAGAATTTTGGGCCAAAACAGGGCTGTATAGTTTTGCATATATGCTACATCTACAAAGCCTTCTCTTGATGTCTTCTGCATTGTGTTCAACACTGACTGATTAATCTGATGTAGCCTTTAAGCAGCTCAATCCTGTGGATTGAAATGGCTGCTTGCACAGAACAGTGTCAATGACAGCATGGGGTCTCAAAGATCTTGAGTTTGGTTGCTTGGTCGATTTACTGTTGGTTTCTTACTGACGCTCAGATGTTTACAAAAAAGACAGATTTTTGCCTTGGCCTGCACTACATATCTTATAAATCCATTGAGTATGATTGTATGCCACAGTGTTTTTGTTTTTTGTTTTTCTTTTTGCTGTTTTATTTTTAAACAAGAATGTTCAGGGGTTTCCTGTAAGAGTGTAAGAATATTTGGCTGTGTCCAAAATGGCTACCCATTAAAGAAAAGAAAACACTTTTATGCGTTATGTCTCGAGTTTTTTCTTAGTAGTTTTCTAGTTTTATGGGAGTTTAGCTGTTCGTATGATTAGGCTGCCTTGCCCTTTATAAGTGCACCTCCTTTGATCAATTATGTGTCATCAAAAGCCATGTATTGGAGCTGGACCATTAGGTTACTGCATCTCAAACTGCTTTGACATTTTTTCAGCTGTCGCAGCAGTATTGCAAGAATTAAGCACAGTGTCATTCCATCCTTCATCCCTACCCCCCAAGGTTCAGCACACCTTTTATCAGACAAAAACAGAAGGGGGAGCTGCTGCTTGTGCACCTTTTGTTAGTTAGGCTCAGGATTTGCTGTTTTCTCAGTATGAAATCCTTCTCTCCCTTTTTTTTTTTTTTTTTTTTTTTTTTTTTTTTTTTTTTCCTTCTTCTTTACCCAATTTTTTAAACAAAACTTGACTTACAATGTAGGCCTTGGTGCAATCATTTACCAATACATGAGGTTCACCTAAGACTGCTTTAGGAAGCCATGCTCTGCAGATCCAGAGGAAGGCAAAGGACACCCCTGGATACATTTCTGGCCAATTTTATCTTAATGTGGAAAAAAATGCTTCTTGACTCCAAATATGACAATCAGTTTGCATCCTGGATCCCACATACACAACTGAACTGTACAATGCTATAGAATATGTGGAAATGCATCAACAGTCCTAAAAATAAAAACAAAAAGTCTTGCTTTCTTATTCCATTTGCACATAATCCATGGGACTTAAAAGTAATATTTTTTTTTTCTCAGCAAGGCAATGCATGTGTTTTTTTTATTACAGGCATTGAGAAATGCTGTGTACACATTGTGTGTTACATACAGGATAGCATGTATATCTTATAATAAAATGGTACTAAAGCCTAAACCTTTTCTACCCTAATGCATTCCTTGCATTAAGGAAAAAAATGTTTAGGCATCAGTATTGGCCCTGTACCCCCCCCCCCCCCCCTTATACTTAAGCTCTCGTTCGATCCAGCTCTGTCACGTCTGCAGCTGTTCTCTGCCCTCATTTCCGGGTCTCTCAAGCTTTGCTGAGGCAGCCGGAGCCAATGGCTTCATTCAGGGCTGCTCTGTGCAATTTCATTTAACAGAGCAGGTAAGTATAGATATATTTTGTAATTTTGTAATAGTGATGCTGGGTGTGCAATTACTAAAAACAAGTCATATACATGCACACAATCGTCATGCAGGTACTTTTAATCAGCATTTAAACCATTACATGTTCTATGCATTGAAAGAATACCTGCCCTGGCACATCATAGCATTCACCCGGCACTCCAAGAAATAACAGACTCCAACTGCAATATTCTTGCACTGTCAAAACCTGCACTTTTATTATCACATGACACACAGGAGGATATATCCTATAATTATCACAATCACACACACACCAATAATAATGTAAGCATTACAGCATGAAATAAACACATCATTTGACAGCATCACAGCATAGAATTAATACATTACTGAAGCTATGTGGAAGCTGGGAGGAACAAATCCCATCGGAACCAAACTGCCCAGGGGGTCACGGAGAAGCCATACGTGCGACCAGTCGATAAGACCATATAGCTTTGGTAAAAATCCTGCTGTCAGAGCATCCTCTGGCCACTAGGGGAGCTTCCACTGGTCTTGCCCGGACCTTCGCCTTATAAACCCTTTTTCTGGAAGTGGTCCAATAGTGGGCAGCGCCACACCCACTACTGGAGGGGCTAGCAGAAGGGTTCCTTGAGGATAACAGTCATGTTCTTATCTACCCCAAAACCTCTTTTCATCTCCCCCAGACTTAAGGATTTGTAACTTAGATGTCCTTAAACAGGTTTTTTTTATCTCTGAATGTGAGGTTACTAGATGTTATAAACACGGTTCATTCCGTAAACAAGGTTTTATCTTGCTCTCAGCAGAATATCTTGTGACTCTGTTCCTTTGGCTAAAGAAATGACATCATCACTTCTCATGCCCCTGGCATTTGGGCGAGAATGCTTTATTGTAAAAATTACCCAAGAAACAAAGGGTCCAAGGCCAACACATTTCATAGGCATTACAAATTTAAAAAAAAATTTTCCTTTTTACAACCACTTTTATTATAGCTAACATGATGTAAAGCAGGATATGAATATTACCCAATTGCCAATATATAGCAAAATACACAAAACAATCCAATGTGCAGCACCTTGTAAATTTACTGGATTTTATGCCTGTATGCTATTGTACAGCTGTTTCAGACTCGTACACATCCTTTCTCAAGTACAAAAATTACAAAGTAAAAACAACACTTTTAAATCACATTTATGCAACAGTAAATAATTCACCTGGATGTAATATCACATCCCATAGTATGTTTATAAGAGATACATGAGGGAAACAAAGTTGCAGTGTCACTGCCATACAACACTGCACAACTGAGTGGTCACACAGTCATAAGTGTCTGGCCAACGGTAACTGACTCTGGGGGGACCATATTAAATACTTGCGTTAGAACAACCTATCGTTTACTTTTTTGGGTGGTTTCTCCCACATGGTATAAACCACAGAAAAATTTAAAGTGGTTGTTAAGGCTGAAGCTTTTTTTTTTCTTTACATTCATGCATTTGACCCATATGCACGTGACAGACAGGGGAAACAACATTTGACACCCAAAGTAGGTACTCACATAGTCTTTTCACTTTGTTAATCCACTTTAATTAACTTGTTCTTAACCTCCCTAGCGGTCTGATTATGTCAGTATTTCTGTGCTCAAAGCGGAACATTTTTTTGCATGGAGATATGTATTTTTTTTATTGTAGGCCTGTAATTTTTGGAATAACTCACTGAAATCTATCCGAACAAGTCTAGTAAACATCCCGGGTATGTTAAAATTTGAAACACAAAATCCTAAATTATAATTTAATAAATAATAATATAATAATAAATTTAATTCAATAATATAATCAAACCAAAAACACTGAAATTTGAAATATAGCGCCAAGTTAGTTCGCACATTACTGAGCAAAGTCAAAAAATCGTTTTCAGTGTCTGATGATGAATTTCCCCATGAATCATCACTCAATTCTGCAAGTGGTTCTAATTTGCTATCGCTGTTTTCTAGCTGGTCTAAAACCGCTTTTGACCTAAAGGGACGCTTTTTGGATGCCATGGACATTTCTCAGTTTCCAGGCAGAAAGAACCGTAAAAATACAGGCAGGGCACAGGACAAAGCACTAGGGACAAAATGTATGTGAAATGGTTTGATACAGTAATGTTTTACCATGTGATTTTAGTGTATTTAGTGAATGTCACTTTTTCACATTTTTAAATTTCCCGCCGTTCCGCCCCCATACGTCTTGACGTCGCAGAGAACGGAACCCAGAAGACGGATGCTGACATTGCCGGGGACACTGCAGGAGGGACATCGCGGGAGCGCAGGACATGGTAAGTGAAGAAGAGATCCCGGAGCAATGCTGCAAGGTATTCCCGAGTGTAGTTCGGGGTTACAGCTTGTGGTGCTAAAACTTTACCCCGAGCTACACTCGGGAGGTTAAAGTGGTTCTAAAGACTGAAGTTTTTTTTTTTTTTACCTTCATGCATTCTATGTGCACAAGAGCAGAAGCTCTTCCAGGTCTCTGCCTCCTCATTGGCCGAGACACAGCAGGGGAGCCATGCTGTTGTCAATCACAGCAAGGACTGAGCCATGCTCTGTGTGTCCCATAGACAATAAAATAAAAGCAATAAATACATAGTTACCTGCTCTGTGCAGTGGTATTGCACAGAGCAGCCCCAATCTTCTACTCAAGTCCCCCGCTGACGCTTCTTGCCCCACCCGAGTGCCCCCAGCGCAAGCTGCTTGCGCTGGGGGCACTCGGCAAGGGGGAGGGACCTGAAGCATTGGCAGGGGGCTCGAGAAGAAGAGGATTGGGGCTGCTCTGTGCAATACCACTGCAGAGAGCAGGCAAGTATGATGTGTTTATTGTTTTTGAAAGAAAAAAAGAGCCTTTAGAACCACTTTAATTGTTGTCCTTTTTATACAACAGGGCCATCTCACATGGATGATCCAATCAAGTACGCCTGCCAGTTGTTCAGGTGGACTTGATTGGAAGGTTAATGCATTTCTATGGACTGACAGGTGTAAACTGACTTACCACCTGCCTCCAGATCTGATCAGGCCCACTAAAAAAAAAAAAAAAAAATGCAGGAGGACTGTGGCCTCTTTCATTTGCGAGGACCGGGGAGACAGACTGGTATAAATAGACAGCAGAGT